ATACTGGATTTTTTGACAAACGATTGCTCAAACAACACTTCCACTTTTTTGTGAATGGAAATTTGTATTTTTTCAAAAAATTTGCATTTTCCGTTTTTTTTCCAAAAAGCTAGCATTTACCGAAAAAACGACCGGACTTCATGCAAAAACTGGTAATCATGTACCTGGCTCTACAATGCACCATCTTCATCCCACCGACGCCTTTTCTCCTGTATGCCCGAAGGGCTAAAGCACGACCAGTATGAGCCCAAGTGTTAGGCTACAGCGCAGGGATCATTCCTACTATCAGCGACCTGTGAGTTTAGTTCAAAAACGCATGATCGCACCGGCAAGCCAGATGCGTCCCAGCCTGGGATAAATGCTGTGCCACCATATGTATGCGTATGCGCAAAATTCTATTCGAGAATTATGAAGCCAAAACCGAAAATGATGAAATGCTATGAAACAAAAACGTAGATCTGAGTTCAGTTTTCGTGCTAATTTACTTGTAAACTTATGCCCTTAGATAAAAATTCTGGTCAGTGTTTTCATTCAACAATTAAAAAGTGGCATGCCGGGAGTTTGTGGATGTTCAACATACTTAATACACAACGGGTGAGAAATTTGAAATCAACTTCGAAACTCCAGTGCATCTTTGTCCTCTGTGGTCGAGCAAATCCTAAAGTTCGTTTTTACAGACTAGGAGAGGCCAGATCTAAAAGTTTTAATTTCTACTACATGGCTTAAGGTGAAATAAGAATTTTCATCCAGAAATTCAATAGAAGCTAATGCTGGAAAGCTAAATCAGTGACCGCTGTCCGCGGAGTTTCAAAAACTGTCCATCACAATAAAAAAACAGGCACTGTCCTTTTACTCTGATTTATTTATTCCACGTACTTCTACCACAATTTATTGTAAAAACGAAGCGGTTTCTGGTGTTTCGGTCAAGCACAGCTGCTTATATTTTATTCGCTTGATGTAGTACAAAGCCGACTTTGGCGTTGTTCTTGTTCGACGATTCGTGTGTGAGTGAGTGTCACTGGCTGATATAATGTATGCTTGACCAGACTGAGTCCCAAGAATTCCGTCGTGAAGTCGAATCTAGCAGTCAGACTGTTTCAAAAACCCTTGTCCCAAATTGTCTATGAAAAAGTAATTACAGTGAAGTCTTGCTTCAGAGTGCAGTAACCTGTGAAATTTTCTTGCAGAGCGGGCTGATAGCAGCAATGCCGCATGCAGTGATGGGCATCGTTGTACTTGTCGGTGGCCAAATCGCCGATTACTTACGCTCTCATAAAATCCTCAGCACAACGGCTGTCCGAAAGCTCTTCAACTGCGGCGGTAAGCGAATAATAAAAATGCTGTCCTAAAATACCGCTTTTAACTTGCCCATTGCAAAAATCTCAATAATAAGATTCCTG